AAAACAAACCAAAAAAAATAAAAATAAAAACAGCTGAATTTTGCGTATAAACTAGGAGTAGTGAAAAACTATCTAAAGGAAGTAAAATAGTAGCTATAAACTATAGGTCTGGCTAAAAATATTAGCAGCAAAATGCTAGCTAGAAGTATAAAAACACTGGCTAAAAGCCAAAGATAGCAAAATGCTAATTGAAAACTAGCAACATTTTAGCTAATGGGTTTGCTAAAATTTAAAAAAGCTCAAATTTAGCAGAAATTAAAAGTGGCAAACGGCTAGTTAAAGCCAACTTCAAAATCCCAAAAAGGATAGCTGTATGCTAAAAGTAACAAAAGGCTACTCAAAAACTAAAAGTAGCAGAATTTTGCGTCAAAGCTAAAAATAGCAAAACATGGACCCCCACGGAGTCCCAAAAAGGAAGAAGCGGGAAAAGATAATGGATAGTTAGCAACAAGCTAAAACAACAAAGACTAGCTACAAACTAAAAGTAGCGTAAAAAGACAAAAACGGAGCACGGTTGCTGAAAATTTGAAAGTAAACTGAAAGATAGAAATAAAGATAAATATTTTGAAAAGTTACAAACCCACAAAAGACAGCATAATGAATGAGCTGAGCGCTTTGACACAGGAATAGCTACAAAAATCCGCACCCGTAATTCGCAAACTGGGCTTCTTCATCAGATTTAGTGTTTGTTGAACGTTGCTCGGCGTCACTGCGCCCCCTGGCGGCGATCACCTGCAGCTGTTTGGCGAGGGAAGTGCCACCGTGTCCGGAGTGAGCCACCGCTAGCTCAGCCTCCCGCAGACCGTTTGTTTACAGTGCTCGTACCGGGGCCTGGGCAAGTCCTCGGGCCAATAACGCGCAGCGGGTTTATTGCTCACCTTTATATCCTTTTCGTTTCAAGGGTCATTGTATGAAACGTCCAACCTGGAGCGAGGCGGCGGCAACAGAAAGAAGAAGATAGAGGAATTCTCTCGGTCTTCTCGGGAGAAACTGGTCCAGTCGAAGAACAAAATGTTCTCCAAATTCACGTCCATCCTCCAACACGCTGTGGAAGCGGTTAGTTGCGTTCAATAGTATTGATTGTATGTGATTATGGCTTTATTTTAAAACTAAATAATGGTTTAAATGGCCTTTGTTGCTCTAGACGTCTTGTCATCGTCAGCGTTAGGTTGCTAACTAGCATGCTAACTAGCATGCTAACTAGCATGCTATCTATTAGAATGGTAACTGGCATGCTACATAGCATAAACCATTGTTAGCATGTTCTATGTATCATCTTATTTTTTTCCCATTTCGAGATACAATCATTTGGATGCATTAACTTGTTCCGTGTTTTCTAATTCAGAGTCGCATTTTAAGACGGAAGTTGTGTTTTTTTTAGCAATAAAGTACAGGACACTGCTATCCTCCGGACGCCAAGCTAACTTCGTATTAACAGCTGGGTCTTATGATGAGGAGTTGTGTTTGATGTTGTGCAAACTTCACGCAGTTTTAACGGCACAGGGGTGTTTTGTGGCTCGATGCTGAGTTTGTTGTAAACTTTCGTTAAAGTAATGTGAAAACAAACAGTCACCTGTTTAAACCTGTTTTCAGTTGCTCCATTTTCAGGGTTTCTAACAAAAGGCATGTGACTAATGACCCAGAGTTTTGTCTTAAAATAAGGCTGCATTTTGTTTCTCCTTCAACACACCTGATTTAAATGATTAAATGACCTGGACAAGTTGTACAGAAGAAGGACGTCAATGACCAATTTGTTAAAATGGGGAGTTTTAAGCTGGAATTGTCTAAAACATTTGAAACGGAGTGCTGAGAATCAGGATTGGAGAACTGACCTAATATCGTAAAGTGTATTTATATATGTTTGCTAACCACTCCAAACCTTCAACTTTAAATGTTTGACTTTGCTGAATGAGAAAATCAAATTAATTCCTGAAAGAAAACATACAAACGTAGACATTTGAAGAGATTTCTTTGACTTAAATTGTAGATATACACATCATTCTACTAGTGTGTTGAATAATATAAACTTCTTGTTTGTTTCTTTTTCAGCTTGCTCCATCTCTACCCTTGCAGGAGGACTTTGTCTATCATTGGAAGGCCATTACACATTACTACATCGAGACTTCAGGTATGAAATGTTTAAAATGTGGTTTGACCTGTTAATGGCCTTGGTGTGTAGAGAAACATGAAATATTTTCTTTGAGGGACCGCTCCTGTTGGAGCGCAGTGTCCCTGAAAGTTGTCTTGTTCGTGAGATGTTACTCATAGCAAGCTATTTAACAAGTTAATACTTTTATCAAGAGAGTGTGCCGTTTGGTTGCTTCCCTGTCTGTTGGCAGGATTACAGGATTATGTGTCGGGACAGATTTTTATTATGATTTTACCAAAATTGGGACATAAGTCAATGTAGAAGTTATTTAAGTTTAAATTTGATCTGGATCGAGGATGTTTTGCATTTTGACTTGTTGGAGTCGTGTTTCATGACGGTTTTACTGGCTGTTTGTAGTCTTTCATTTATTAAAACTTCAAATTAAAGGTTTTCCTTTCTTTTAAAATGCTTCAGACTGGTCTAAAT